TCTTGCACTTCCATAAGACTCATTACTACATAGTGAGGAAATAAATCCTTTCCAAAACCAACGTGATAGATATAGATCACTTCAAAGGAGTTATTTTATGTTTTAAAACTGGACAATCCTAAATAAATTTTCTTGCGATGAAAAAGTACAAACATAACACAAAATTGATTATCCCTGACATGGTAATTTTTACATAAACAAAATTAATTCTAATGACTTTATCTTAATTTTTATAAATAGAAAATAGACAAGGAGACGGAGTAAAAAAAAGTTGTGAAGGAACAACTGTAACCTTGTTTTTTATGGACAAAGAACAAGATAATTCATCATATTTTCATCCGTATAAAAATATTCAAGCAAATCATAAGTCAAAGTCAGAAGGTTATCTAAATTACATTTCAGAACTCTCTATTAAATTACTCAGTTACTTTTCTGTTTCTTAATGATGATGTATGTGCTGCTTCATAGATTACCATGAACTTCCAAGACTGTGTACTGTCTAACCATTTTCACTATTAAATTGGGATTATAGTACAAATGTTAAATTGAAACATTACCATATTCCTGAATCCACATAACAAAACAGACTGCAAGTATTCTTCAAAAATATCTAAATTAAAAGGATCCTGCCAGATCCACTGTTCTACTCTACTGCAAGCGATTGATGAGAACCGCAGAAGGAAAGTAACATACAAAGTAATTAACATTACAGACAATCCCAATTATAATTATGATATTCTTATACAGAAAAAAAAAGTATTTTCTAATGATGTATGTATTTTAATTTAAATATAGTCAATTTCATGTTTCCAATTAATAGAACCTTTATCTGTCAAGACCATTCATTCTTTAGTCACATGAATTCCAGAGGGAAAATTCCAAATGATCCAGTAAGTGCAGACATGGTATCTATTACAATTAAACAGCCACTGTATGTAAACCTCACAACTTGTTTTCATATCACAATGACAGCATGCAGTAATGAACTTTCTGTTCAGAAAGCCTTTGTAAGACTCAAAGAGAAAGAAATATATACTCCCAAATACTAATTACTCAGATGGTCAATACTAAACTTCTTCAAAAATCTGGAGATCGGCCAAAACCAGTCATAAATGGTTTGACTTTGTACCAGAACACTATTTATCAGTATTCTTAATTTCTATCTGTGCAGACAGACTGTGCTTAGTACTTAGCAATGAAATGGCTAAATATAACAGCTGTGCTAATTAGATCATACATAAGTGTTTGAGAATTGTGATTATAACTTGGAATTCTTTATTAAATTCAGCTAAGGAACGTCAACCACATCTGCTGCAGCCGTCACAGAACTGAAGGTAGTCGTGTTCACAGGGGATGATGCAGAACCTCAACACGTTAGTGGCTGCACGTCACATCTGAAATGTGACTCTTCCGCAGTGCAGCTGAATAACTTGTCATAGACCTACTTCTGCCTAAACTAACATCCATTGGTTTATCTACACAATGAAGAAGCACAGTTACTTGTCTTGAAATAAGAATACAAGGTCTTGACCAACCGTACTGTTTAGGGAAACAAAGCATTACCGGCAGTAGGTGGAAGGACAGATGCCAAGTTCCTCTGTATGGGATCTCCATGCAAGGGCGCAGCTACAACACTGGGCACCTCATCCTCTGTCTTTGTCTCTCTCCCCTTTCTGCCCTCAAACCTCATTCAAAAAGTTTTAAGTCTTTTTCATGCAGAAATATATTCCATTTTGACAGGCCGACTGTTGTTACATATGAAGAAAGAGGCATTTCTCATTGCTACGCGGAAATGACTTAAAACAATCAACTAATCAAGAAAAACGTTTTAGCTTAAATACTGAGAACAAAAGCAGCACAAAAGCAATCTCTCTCCTCCTTTCCATAGCAAGTCTTGCTGTTCTATGCTACCAAAACCAACGGAAACATCAAGGGCAAAAATTCACCCTACCAAAACAAATAAAAAACCAGCAACCTCAAGGAGGAAAGAAGTTTTACCTCAAGCACACGTGTAAAGCTAATATTCAAAAAGTCATCTGTGGTCTTACATAAATAAAATCATAATGCTTCCAGGTAAAAACTGTAACTAAACCACCACCTACGACTCACCTCAGATTTTTTTTTTTATGTATATGTCTTTGAAGGTTGCTGATTTCACTTGGCAATAGCAGCAATTACCAGTGAAAGTTTAGAAGTTCAGCCAATATAGCAAAGAGAAGTGGAATACACTTCAGAAATTTTAGTAAATTACTCTGGCTTGGTTTTCATTTTACAAGCTCAGTAACCATAAGGTTGTCACCATACCCTAAATACAAATAAAGATTGAGAGCAAAGTGTGAACCTATTTACATAAAATAATAACTATTTTTTAATATTCTAGGATAATTTTCAATACTTCATTATACCAGTTGACAATATATATCCTAAATCAGATAAATTAAATCTTTAATATAATTAGTCTTACTTAAGTAAACTTGTTAAAAAAAGAACGATTTAAACCCCATACACTTACTTGTTTGAACTTCAAGAAGCAGAACTTACATAATTTGTGATGTTAAAATGATTCAGGCATGACAAAAACTAAAAATACATCCTTTCAGAATGGTGAAATGAAATTTCCACAGACTATGTATGCCTTGTTTCCCACAATCAAACCATCACAGCATGAAAACACGCTCCTGCGTGTGGGGGTTTTGATACCCACTTCCCTGGTGAGAGTGTGCAAAAGGATGTGAAAGAGTTATTGGCAATTCATACAGTATCCCATATTTCATTAGATAGTACAAGCAGAGAACATAACTCTGAAGGGAGATGAAGCAACAATGTTCTAAATGACTATTGACTCCACTAAATTTCCTGATAATGTCAGAAGACTGTAGTCTGTCAGGTTCATAAGAGACTCAAGATGATACAGGAATCCAATTATGCGAAGTCTATTTAGTTGTCCTGTTTGCTAAGCCAAAGGTTAACGAGAACTGCACTAAAAAAACCTCCTGTGGTATTACAAAGTATTTCTTATGCTGCATAACATGTAAATGAAAAAGTATTTTAATCAAGTCTTTCTTTAACTCTTTAATTGCAATGGCGTGTGCTACAATACAGCAAATTAAAAGCCCATGACAGAAAAAGTGATTTTAAAAATTTGCCACTGACCTAATGACATCATGACTAATTACTAAAGTAATTATTACTACTTCTAATTTGAAAAAGAAAAAATGTTCAGATCACAGAACCATAGATAGTCATTGCTAACATTAAATCTTTATAAATAGCGAGCTATGGCCTCTAATTTTAGACAGAAATTAATTATATTTTTGTTGGTAACACATTCAGATCTGTTTACACAGCTGACAAGACTCAGCTGCACCAGACTCGAGCAGTGAGCTTTGAGGACTCTCCTGCTTTGGAGCAGATGACTCAACATTCACCAATTTCATTAAAGATGAAAAAGGGAAAAATTCACTTGCAACAATGTCACTTGTAAAAACAGACTTAAAACAGATTTATGAGTTTTACATATGTGAGGTATCCTCTTCAAAAAAAAGGGAAGAAAAAAATACGGGAAAACCTAACAGCTGTGGGAAAAAGGATTAAGAGTGTTGAGTTTCCAATTCTTTTTTGGGCTAATGTAAACTAATAAAATGTTAAAATGGATCCACGTTTCAAAGACTGTAATTACCACATGACACCATGCTGTTATTTCAGACCTTACATCTATTGTCTCAGATATGCTCTTGAATACATGAACATAGATTTACCCACCTCTCTCAAACTTAACTACTGTCTGTGGTAGTGTTTGCAGAAACATTTTACAAGTATATTAGAAATCCAGTCTTTGCTTTTTTTTTTTTTTTTTGGTGATTGGGAGAAATCCTTTACCCAGAGCAAAAAAAGCAGGAGTCTTATCATACAAACAGCAGTTCTCTCTTTACAAGAAAAGAGTGGAAATGGACAGGAAAGTAATGCATTGAAGATAATCTAATATGCAGAGAAAGCGAATCCCAATTCCATTTTCACTTTGCAGAATACTCAGGTTCAAGTCCAAGTTTAAATGAATGATTTTATAAAAATAGAAATACTTAATTTTTCTACATTTTTCCCAGGTCACAAAACATACATACAACATAACTACATAATTATTTTAGCCTTTTAGGGGGGTTGTTCATTTGTTTGTTTTCAAGAAAGGCAGACCTCATTACGTGGCACTAGGAACATACTACTAGAAGAAAATTATCTGAACAAACCTGAAAGACATGCTGTAAAACACACTGTAGGGATAACTATGCAAGGAAGCAAGTCTAATATTTAATGGAATTCTGCAGTAAAATCCCACAATTTCACGAATTTGTAGTCAATTCACAGTCAGACGATTCTGGGTTCATATTGATCTCAGCCAAGTTTTCCCTCCCTTTCTAACTAATAGGAATTCTAAAACCGGCAGCATACATTTGAAAATTGAATACGTATTGGATTGTATACATATGATTTACTCTTTCAAAATGTAATCTTGCAAATGTCCGTAAATTCTTAATGGTCCAGCAAGAACCAAAGTAGAAAGCAAGTGAAGCTCTTCACTGATTTCAACAGAACACCTCCTGCTTAAAGCCAGACAGGGTCTAAGCATACTGGTTCACACTACTGAGTAAAATATCTAGATGTGCAATCAGAATAGATGTAAAAACCAAGACTTTATTCTGAAGTTCAATCACTGCAATAGACTTCTTTAGCTTCCAAAGTGGTGTTGTGCAGCTTTGCTTCAGTCTAGGAACATGTTTCCTTGTCTAAAACACGCACTGAATTTTATGCACATGAACAGTTTCCATGTGCTTCAGTAATCCAATACTTTAGTATTTGTATCTTTCAAGATAAAGCTCTGAAGTGTGCGTACCGTTAAGCTACTGCATATGAGACAGTAAAAGTTATTGGGTGATTCCGATCAGAAATCCAAGTATAATCAACTATTTGTAGGAAGAAATGAAAGGAGAACCAAAGCTACTTACTGAGTCGTCTGTGGCAGAAGGAGGCCAGCCTTCCCATAACTGGTGACGGACAGGGATACTAGTTAGGTCATACACATTCCGCTTTACCTGGTAAAAAAAAAAAAAAAAAAAATCAGAACTTGCTCTAACAAGCGCAATACAGGCAAACTGGATTATTTTCATCGTAATCCCAAACTCTTTATTTTGATTTTTTCTAATTATTGTAAAACACTTAAAGATTCAGATCTGTTGCACAGATTTACACACAGTACTTCCAAAAGCAATTGAACAAAGTATGATAAAGAAAAAAAAATAAAATCCATAAATTATCATTCGTAATGATTCATTATTACTTCAGGTTCATATACGTGTTAAACAATTCATAATACAAATTTTCACAGTAAAAAGTATTACAAAGTAATGAACAAACCGAAGGGAATCAGAAGGTAATAACAAAATTCTGTTACAGGTTTTGCAAGTTAATGTATTCTGTTTCACCTAAAAATTTTAGGCTCATGCTACATCTAAGCAATAAGAAATACAACTAGTTTTGCATAAGTTTCTTAAATGAGATGGAAAAATAAAAGTGAGTATATCAAACATGAAAATATGAATTAATAAACACATTTCCAATGAAGACAAAAATTAAAGCATTTATTAAAAAATGCAAATAAGCTAATTTTTACATCAGCTCTTTTCTCATGCTATTAAAATACAAGTCGCTGCCATTAATCACCTCATATGATGGTTGTCAGGACAAAGGGAGGGAGAAAAGAAGAGAGTTGAAAATTTCGAACACAGGAAGAATACTGCAAAATACAAGAGTTACAAAACTCTTTCCACAAAAACATTAACACACATAAAAAAGCTGGCATGTTTTATCAGAGGTTTTGTGGTAAGCAATTATTTAAATCACAAAAAGACATATTTTTGTATTTGGGATAGAGAGTGGTATCTCAAATTCTCAGTAGTATCTTATACCTGAATGTAAAGACTGCATAAGCAACAAGCACATGTAAATATTGTACAGCTGGACCAGAACTGTGAAAAAGAAAACACAGTGAGCAATGCCAGGTTGTGGGTTGTCTTCCACCAAACTGCTACATGGGAATATAAAACCATCCCACATCTTCACATGTCTATTTTAGTTTCCAAGTACAGATCTCAACCTATACTATATCCAGAAAAACATTCTCAAATAGATAAAGGTATGGTTTGATATATTTTCCTAATATTTTACATGATCATTTGCTAGACAGAATATCTGAGGAAGTTGGAAGTCCTGCGTCCTGTTCCAAGCTCTATGAGGGCTGTACAGTTTAATGCTAACAGACACATTAAACAAACATAGTTGGACCAAACACCAAGTGTTTGACACATTAAACCAAAAGATACTAAGGCAGATGGGTAAGATTTGACTTCAAGCAAATGCCAAGACTACTCCAAAACCTGTCCTCTGATGCCTTCTTCAGCTTTTCATTTGTTCACTTGTCAACTGGAAAGAATCAATCTTTAATTGTATTCTAACTTCTGCTATGAGTATTGCTAAAAATTCCATGAACTAAAAAAACCTACATATAGCTGTCAGCAGAAAAGATCTTTGAGCTAGCACCTTGCTCGCAGTCTAGTGCACTTACTCTAAGTTAACAACTTACTCTGAACAGAAAAACGGTTTGGAAAAAAAAATTTTAAAAAATCAGGAAGAAAGTCAAAATCTGTCAAAATGAGAAATATCAACACAATCCATATATTTACAGGTTCAATATTCAAGAAATTAATGAAAGATGATTCTAAATTACCGTTCTTAGGGAGATAATGCAATAAAACAAAATGATCCACTACACAGACATTTCATATGATTTGACCCCACCTATTCATCAGTACTTGCCACAGCTTCATCACTGAAGCACAGTTGAGGCTTGAATACACAGTAAGGTAATATAGTAAACAAACATACATAATGTGCATATGTTTCCTCAAAATTTGTCATTTGTTTTTAGTACAGAATGTATATGTAATATCTGGCAGTAGATATTAATCTAAAAATGTGTTTCCATAATCAAATAGCACCAAAACTCTTTTTCTCTGGATCATCTTTAGAGAGAAATGCTGCCTGGACTCTTTCTTTCAAATTTTGCACATAGTTCAAGCACATTAACACATGGATGAAGGATACATGTGCAGACATTAAGTAGTAAAAGAACTGTTCTAATCATTGTAAATATCCTAAGGGACTGAGGGAGGAGGCAGGGATTTCCAAACATACACTTGCTCACAAATGTTGATTTGGGCAACATTCTTCAAAAGGTTCTGCATGGCACTGCTGCATGAGTTTGCCAACAAATAAATATGACTGAGAAAATTATAGGGCATATACAGAGCAAACACAAAGGACAGTGCTCTTACTGCATTTACAATTCTCAGATTCTCCATTCAATTACTGTTGCTCATTTTCACTACTTGTAGCAGTAGTAGTAGTGGTTAGTATTGCATACTAATATGTGCCTCTTAGTAAAAACTGTGAAGAACTGTCTCACGTTTCTCGAATAGGCTATGCGGATAGTAATTTCAATACTATCAGCTTAAAGCTTTATAAATACAAATACTCTGCACAGATGAGTAGAAGGCAATGGATTCAATTTATTATCCAAGAGTAAGACATATTACTGTCAAGTCCTGAGTCTACATCTCACTAAAGGATGAAAGTCAGGCCACGTGGGTCCTTTATCTGGACATTTCAGTATCATAACATATATTTGGGTTGTATTTTCAGCTCAGCTTTACATTCGTTGTGTGTTTTAGAATCATTAAGATAACTCTCCTTTTTTTGAAAAAGTGGTAAATCCACGTACACCCAATAACCTTTATGTTAATATTGGTTTTGTTCAGGAGTTTTTACAGGGAGACTGATTGGGTTAACTACATATCAATTTTTAAAAATCACAACTATATTTTAATTAAAAAAAACCCTAAAACAAGAACACTGGATTTTTTTAGACTCAGAACACTGAAGTATTTATTAGCAATTAAAGCGGACCTCATATTATGCTTGCTCATATTTAAGCATGTAGCCATGCCTTTAAAATAGAAATATACCTTAATGATTAAAAATTTATTCAAATTCATTTCAAATACACATATATATAAGAATATACCATATGCATGTGCATATGTATACACACGCACGTGTGAAAAATGGAATTATGGAAGACTGAACTCTGTAGAACATGGTATATGATCTCATTCCTACTGTTCAAAACAAACAGCCTTTCTTCACGGCTTCTTAACAAGAAGGTAGCCTGCTGTGCAGTATTCGTTTTGCAGCAGTATCAAGGTAAAGGGATGTCATTGCTCCGTCCTGACCCCACAACAGCCCATCAAAACGTAACAATACTGATCTGCGATCACAAGAATACGGTTCTTGCTATTTTAGTTTTCTTGCATTAAAAACCAGGATAAACAGTCCCTGTGAGATAACTTCTCCAATTACGTATCAAACAAGTCTCATTATTTTCACAATATAAAACTCTAAAATGAGCTACTTTGAAATAACAAGTGAAACTTTCTTAGAGAAACGTGGGATCAATAGAACCACATAATATTGTTTTCAAAAAGTCTTCAGAAGTAAAAATAAATAACTCAGAAGTCACATTCCTCAAATTCCCTTTTAATTCCAAAGTACAACAGAAAGACATTATGAAAAAAACAGTATTTCCCTTCTTTCATTAACTCATCGGTAACTGCACTGAATTCAATAACATTCCTCTGCTATTCTAGGCTTGAAAGGCATGCTCGGGGTAAAGTGTTATGTTGGTATAAAGCACAATGCCAGACTGATGTGTCGGACAAAAGTGATCAAAGTTGAAGTAATTTTAGCCAACGCACAAGTATTCTGCTGCATTATTCTACCAGAATGACATCTGTTGAGCAACTCGTCGCAGAATAAACTAGTTGTTATAGACAGGCCTGGTCGGGTAGGGGGACCATGTAAGACTTATTAGAGTAATGTTTGATTAAACAAACTGCTTGAGTTAAAATCATAACTGGATTTGGAATTCATGCCAAAGCAGTCCTCTTTCAAACAACAAGCCACAATCAATTATTTAAGATAAAATAAGCTTGCTTTTAAATAACTATTTAATTTTAGGTTTGTTTGATAATTAGAATAGCATTATGAAAGCAGATTGCAAAACGTTTTACGGACTAGGAATATTTACCAATTGAGTACAGAAAACGCCTTTGCTTCCTTAATTGACTTAATTTCAGTTTAAAGTTAAAGATTCTTAATGAAAAGAAGGAAAAATGCCTAAAGATTCATAAAAGCAGAACCATAAACTGCTTCTTCACTAGGCTACTGAAACAAAAACCTACGGCCATACTCTTTATGCAACTGAAAAAAGTTCGCATGGCAAACAGACAAAGTCTGTGTTACGGTTTTTATTTATAAATTCACATGATATTGATAGGAGGACTGAAATCTTTATAAAATTGTGTAAAAAGCAAACTTTAACTTCTAGTGCCATCCACTGAGCTACATTTATTGGCAAACTTTTTGGTCCACCCCCTTTGATCAGTTCGAAATACTAATTGGTGGTATTGTCTTTGTGCAGCCCAGAACTTCTTTTCATAACGTTCAGATGCCATGGTGACTGGCACATTACTATGGCAGCCACCCTTCAGATTATAATCTCCAGAATATAGGAGATCATTTAAAAACAAATTAAACGCACGTCTATTTGGCTGCACAACTCAGCTGTGAACAGTAGCAATACAACCATCTAAAGAAAAAAAAATACCCCATGTATTTCAGATGCAATTTTACTTGGAAAATTATTTATAATTCCTGCAGAATGCCCTGTCTTGCAGCTACACATTGATGCTCGAGAATCACATGAAGTTTTACCTTCAGCTCATTTTCACTGGTGTTAGAAGGGAGTTAAAACACTAAACAACTTTATATATTTTAAGAAAACCTGTTCATCAAAGTAGTCGACGCCCTGAGAAAACTTCCCAGATATAGGCAGAGTCTTACTTTCTTATCCTTCACTGTTATTTTTTAAGCAAATGACTATGTTGCTTTAAAAGGAAGATTAAACACAAACTTGCTT